TGGATTTCCTTTTCAAGGATCCTAGCTCTAGTCACTTAGTCCCTAGGGAGACGGACTGATAACTCAAAGGCAGCATCTATCTGGCAATTTGAATCCACCATAAATTCTACAGAAGAAAGATGAACAACTTACTTGTGTAAGATTTACAGTCTCAGAGAACCAGCTCGAGGATGAGCTCTGAGCCAGTTCCAACTCAAAAGAAATGACTTTGAGCTTGCTGCTTTTTAAATTTTTCTACAGAAAACAATCTTCAAAAGTATAAAGGAAGATATGATTAGGCAGTATATGTATAACAACAATCTGGAACAAGAGGTCCACTGCACAGTGGACTAGGGAAGGTGAGGGAAGAAAAAGAATGTGCAGCAATGAATGAATACTATAAAAAGTAGAATGACTATAGCACTAGGGGGAAAAAACAGGCTTGCTTATGATCCTGAAAGATAAAGTTTCTCCTTCCCTAGCAAAGGATAGGCATACTGAATATCAGTGTAATAATGTTTGCTTAGAGTAAAGGACAAGAATGTTTACTGTCCATTATAAAAGATTCCATCTCCCTAGATCCAATATCCCTTTACTATATTGCAATTCACTATGTACAAGTGTCACCTGGCCTCATTCATGTCACCCTGCAAGATATGCTGAATATTGTTGTATGTTGTTAAGTGCTGTCAACCCTATGTACAATGGCTCTGAAGCCTGTCCTATCCTGAGCCAATCTCACGACTTCTGATACACCTACTCCCATTATCCCAGTTACTGTGTCAATCCACCTCATTCAGGGTCTTCCTTTCCTGTGCTGTCCCTCCACCTTTCCAAACATGATGTCCTTCTCCAAGCACTAGTCTCTCCTGGCCACATGCCCAAAATATGTGAGACAGAATTTCAAAATCCTTGCCTCCAAGGAACAGCCTGGTTTCATCCTCTCCAGGAGAGACCTGTTTGTTTTCTTGGCAGCCCATGGTATATTCAATACTCTTCTCCAGCACCACAACTCAAAGGTATCAATTCTTCTTCTATCAATTTTAGTCACTGTCTAGATCTCTGATGCATAGCAAGTAAATACGAAGACCATGGCTTGGATCAGGCACACCTTAGTCTTTAGACTGACTTTGTTGTTCTTCAGCACTCTGGAGAAGTCCCTGACAGCAGACTTCCCCAGTACAATTAATCTTTTGGTTTTCTGACTGCTGATGCCACGAGTGTTGCTTGTGGAAACAAACAAGCCAAAACTGTTAACGATCTCAATCCTTTCTGCATCTACTATGATGCTGCCAATTAGCCCAGTGGCGAGAATCTTTGTTTTCTTGACGCTGAGCTTCAAACCATACTAAAGACTGCAGCAAACACCTCAGATCCTCCTCAGTTTCAGTGAGCAAGGTTGTGTTATCTGCATAGTGTAGGTTGTTTATGAGTCTTGCCCCAATCCTGATTCCTCCTCATTGAGTCCAGCCTCCTGAATTATCTGTCCTGCATATAGATTGAAAATGTATGGAGATAGGATCCATCTCTGATGTATACTTTTTCTCATTTTGAACCATGCAGGGTTTCCTTGCTCTGTCATGATAACTGCTTGCTAGTTCAAGTGTAGGTTTCGAATAAACACAGCTACTGCTATTTCTGTAAAAAATAATATGTACTTTGACTGAGAAGTTTCATGTCTTCTATCAGCACCCATAAAACTATGGTAGGATAATTGTCAGATTGGACATAGAGTTAAAATCACAGATGACAATGGTATGTTAAACAAATGGCCATAAATCCTCCCCCTTCCTGTGTGCACTCCTGTGGTACTAGCCTAAGACATTGATTGTGGGCCTCACTTCACTTGCTGGGCCAGTAGAAGAGTAAACATTAATAAATGTTAATAAAGGTTTGAAAAAGATCACACATTGAGAAGTATACTCTTGCTTTTCTGAGGATCTAGTTCCATGGAGAGAAGGCCCAGTCTAGCCTACTGGGTGTTAAGAAAGCAATGGTTCCCTTTCTGTTGTCATTGCAGTTAACATACAAGTGAACAAAGTCAACTTCAATCACCCAGTCACCGGCCAACCCTTCAGTTATCTATTAATTAGTAAGAGTGAATCCAACATAGGTGAGCTGAACAGGCCGGATATGAAGAAGTAGGCAGCCTTTATGGCTTAGGGTAGATTTCCATGCAGCTAAATCTAGAGGGCTCCGTCTAATTAAACACTGAAACCTTATCACTTAGTGCAGTGCCTAAGAAAGAGGAACTACCATCTGTTTTAGTCCTTTCATGTGAATGATTAGTACACAAAATTCATCTCACTCACAGCAATTGAATTAGAACCAACTCAAAGCTGACTGCCCGTTGAGGTTTTTGGGCTTTAAGTCACACAGGAGATTGCCCATGTTTCCCCGGAGGAGCCACAGGTAGATTAAAACTGCAAAAGAAGTGTAGCCTTTTGACAGCAGCTCAACTACCTACGAATCAGACCACCAGACCTCTCTATCAGTACACAAGCCGGATATTAAGTAGAAAGGCTGATGGAAAATATTTCTCCATTTCACAAGTAAGCTGTGAAATTGAAGAAACTACTTAACCAGGAGGTTGTAAGCCTTAACTCAGAAAAGCATTATTTGGTACTCAGAAAGAGAGATGTGTGAAAACCAGCACTTCTAAATGTCTGTCAGACAAGGAGCAAGTTATTGAAACATTTAAATGTCTATTTAAACACATTTCATTTTCATTTCCTCGACTCCAAGATGGCAATAATCAAGGTGACTTCACAGAAACTGTAGAGGAGGTACAGTTGGAGGGAAATTATAGGGGAATTATGGTCGGAGTAGTACAGCCATACTGAACACACCAGGGGTTAGCATGAGTGATAGTGACTTGGAGCAATAAAAACCACAAGGCAAGAGTAGCCCTAACACTGCCAGATTCGACTGAGCGAAATCTGCTCATGTGCTTACGTTCTTCCTCTTAAACACTTGCCCTAAATCAAATAATTTCCCCAAAGTAAACACAAAATTTAACATTTAGAGATAGAAAGAAGACAGAAACTAAGTACCAAGCAGGCTGCATACACTGTGCTCAACCAGATGACATATTTTGTGTTACATAATGTGCACACAATTCCAAGTATTTCGCTGCTTTAAAACCCCCCTTAAATAATGTAAACCGTAGGGAAGATTAGTACCTGACAAGATGAAGGTATATAAAATGTGTCATTATATTAATGGCACTGAAAGGTCACTTTGCAGAAATTCTGCTTTCATTTTAGCAGTTTAGAATTAAATCCTTGCTTTTTATTTTAGAGATAGAAATTTCTATCAATCACTTTTTTATTCTCTACATTACTAGGCTCGGTTACATTTTAAAAGAATTCTTTTCAAGAGATTTTCTTTTACCCATTGGTATCTTTGAAAATTCTCTGCAAGTGCTAAATGGCAACTGAATGCAGTTTGAATTTTCTCTTAAACATAAAAAATGAGCTTATGATTAGAAACATCCAAATCAAATTAATCCATTGCCTAAGGCCTTCATTTGGTTTCAGTAAAACTTTGAGGCTCTGGAGAGGAGAAATACAGGAAATACAACCATAATTATAAATATCATCCAAATTTATTTTGCTTTTTTATATTATCATAGGTGAGTTACTATCTAACCAGTATTTAATGAAAATAATAGTGACGAAGAATCTTCAACACTATTATTTTCATTAAACAGTGGTTAGGTAGTAACTCACCTATGACAATATAAAAAAACAAAATTAAAATAATATTTACTCACAAAGTAATATTTTCTAAAAATTGGCTAATTGTCAAGTTTTGTTTTCTTCATATTTTCATCAGACAAAGACTAGTGTTCTGGTTAAATGTCAGGCTTAGAATTTTATTCTAGATCTGCCTCTTAAATATTTTGAGACTGTACAAATCATTTAAACTCTTCAATCCTGTTTTACTATCTGTAAATAAATTGTAATAGTGTGTGAACGTGTTTGTATAATTTGTTATTTTGTGAGGAGTAAATTAAATAGACATATAAAGTGGTCTGTCTACCTAAATCACAGCGTGTGTTCACTATGTGAACAGCATCAGTTAGTTATTGCCACACTTTCATCTTTAATAGACAATCGCATGACTCTGTAACATTAATCAGTAAAGATCAAACTCCAAAGTTCTATTACATAAGACAATATAATCTGTTCTTCCACCACAAAGACACTCAGGTGTCAAAAGGTCTATATTGCCAATTATGTCCACATCCCTGGAACAAATAGAAACTGTTAAGTAAACAATATACAGAGACAGTGAAAAGGTCAGAAATACGACATATATTTAGGGATGTTCTAAATGTTGAAGGAGACCTGGTGATGCAGAGCATCACACGTTGGGTTACCAACCTAAAGGCTGGTGGTTCAATCCCACCAACTCCATTGCAGGAGAGAGATGTGCAGTCTCCTCCCACAAACATTTCCAGCCTCAGAAACCCAGTGGAAGACCTCCATGAGTCAGCACCAACTCAAAAGCAGTACATTTGGTTTTCAAAAGGTTGGTGATGGAAACACATTCAGTGGCACTGTGGAAGAAACCCATCTCCAGTATTTCTGAAATAACTATGGCCACAAAAACTGTATGGAGTAGTTCTGGTACGACACGTGAGGTTGCCAGGAGCCAGAATCACCTCGATGGGCAAGGAGGTTTTCATGTCTTAACAAATTGTGTTATAGATTGTCTCTTCTATAACCAGAAACATCCAGCCCCAACTCCCACCCCATTACGGGCCAGCACAATGTCACATTTTCTGCCCAACGCCCTTTGGCACAGATACAATGAGGACATTTTCCTTCAAATGAGCTGCACCCGAATGTGTAGCTCAGGGACATTCTCTTTAGGGCCAGAGATCTCATTCTGCTCAACATTAACAATTCTGGGGACTCTCATCTGAAGAGGTGCTGGCTGAGTGACAGACAGTTCAGGAACTTTTTATCATTCTTCATTCACTAATATAAGAGAAAAAAACCACCTTGACTTACCCGGAAATAGTCGCTGCATGCTGCAAGGACTGCCTTGTGAGCGTGGAATTTCTGTTCCTCAGCAATCAGGGTGACATCGCAGAGGATGCCATCACATCTCTGCTGGTTCAGTGCTGCCAGGACACTGTCATTGTGAGATTCGGAGTGGCAGAGCCTCTGGCCTGTCAGCATTTCTTGAATACTGTAAAGGAGAGCAATCATGTCAAGCCTGGGCGCCCCCATACTCTCTTTCTGCTCCTACAACGATTAGGGATTGAGGATTCCACAGCAGAGTGTGAGCTTATTCCCACTCATTCACCAGTCTTTTACTTTTCATTTCTATTCTCACCCTGCAGGGCTTTGGCCAGTGTCTGTCTCTTTCTCTTCTAACAGACCATCTCTCTCTGAATTTGTTTCTGTGTTTCTGCCTATCTGTGTCTGTGTATTAATCCATGTAATCGCACTGTGTATACATCTCCGGGCACAAAGCCTTCTTTGAACATATGTCTGGGTGTGTATGTGTGTGTATTTCTTCTCTACGAGCCTCCATCTAGGTCTGACTCCCTCTCCACCTACATATATGGCTTTAGGGCAGGTTCAGGATATGATCACAGACATGTTCTCATCCAACACATAACTCACTCCATCTGGATGACTTCATCGCAGATACAGAAAGTTACCATGTCTCCCCAGAAGGACTCAGACTCCATTAGTAAGCAACAGAAAACTGAGCAAACATTAGTGAGGAAGAAGGGATCTTGGTGGCCAAGTCATGAAAAGTCACCTGAACTACAGGAGTTTAATATTTGAGCTGGGAGATGAGGCACCACAGAGAGATCGCCTCAGAAATGCTGTTGTAAATAAAAGCAAATTTAAGCTAAATGTTTGTATTATCATTATTCACTGGATATGTGTGATCACTGTAATAAATCCATTTATATAATTTTATTTCATTGATATAATTTTATTTTCTATTCTTTGTGAAATCACGAAACAATGCAAAACTCAGTGCAATCAAATGAATCCATCCTGACTCATAGGGACCTCACATGGAACTATTACATGGGTTTCCAAACTTCAAAATCGTATGGGAACTGACTGCAATTTCCCTCTCCTGTGGAGTGGCTGGTGAATTTGGACCTCTAGCCTTTTGGTTGGCATCCCAACACTTAACCGATTGAGTCATTGTTTGTTGTAACATGAGCCACTGGTGTTAGGTGCTGCTGAGGGGAATACGACACTATGACACTATGAACAACAGATATGAACCCTGCCTATCTTTTCCGTCCTTATCATCTCCAACACCACTGCCACAGTCACTGCATCAATCAATCCATTGCATTGAGAGTCTTCCTCTCTTTTGCTGACCCTCCACCTTTCCAAGCATGGTTTCCCTTTCCAGGACACAGCCTCTGCTAACAACATGCCCAAAGTATGGGAGACAAAGCTTTGGCATCCATGTTTCCAAGGAGCACTCAGGCTGCACTTCTGTCTGTTCTTTTTTGCAGTTCAAATTTACCTAATGTAAAACTTACCACTTCCCTCTCTACCTCTTCCTAAACTACTTAGGGCCTTTTCAAATTCCCTGGGAAACTTTTATATTTCTAAAGTAATACAGTACTGAAATAAAATTATATCAATGAAATAAAATTATATAAATGGATTTAATACAGTGATCACACATATCCAGTGAATAATGATAATATAAACATATTTACACAAAGTATAAATTGAATTTATAAGTAATTATTCACATTTCCCCCTTAGATCAGTAGAGCCTCTACAGTGTTTTAAGGAACTGGCAGTTGGATGCAATGGGCTGAGGTGGGCTGGTAGTATGGTACTGAATGAGACTGAGACCATCAGGCCACAGGTTACTAGAGTTTGTTTCTTTTTTGTTTTCATTTTCTGGTATTCAGACTCTAAAGGTGTGACTGGGCATTTTCTGCTCCTTCCCTATGATTCCTGAATCCAACCCTCTCTCTGTGGATGTGAAGGTGATCCTCTGAGAAGTCAGGGAGTCTCCACCAGCCCAGTGAGCATGGCTGAGTTATCTGAAAGGCTCTGCTCAGCCTCTGGGCCAGCTGGCTGGCACTGAACATTTAAGCACACATCACCACCTTAAAATTAACCAAACGCTTCATACGGAGTGCCAGAAGGCAGTCAGCAAACTTGTAGCAGATAATGTTGGCTGAGGTGCATCATAAATGGCCGAGCTACGGCAAGGGGGTCCATCAGGACGTGACGATAAAGGTAGTTCTCATGGGAAGATGGGTGGATTATTTTCAGTTGAAATGTAACATGCGGTTGCATCATGCAGTGGCTCTATCTCTAGGCAGATTGCTAAAATTAGCAATTAAAAATGCCCGCGAGAAGCATAAATGATTATGCTTTACTAATTTTTCATGCAAAGTTTAGATGGAAATTAATTAGCATGGTTCAGTTAAAGAAATAAGGAAATAAAATAGTAATAATAGAAATATTGTATCAGCTAAGAAAAAATTTTGAATAATCTTTAAAAATCATTCCCCAAAAGACAACACTTTTCTATATTGACAAGAACATAATACTTCATATGCTCCAGGAATTCATTTTTAGTGATTTATAATTACTAATTCATTTAATCTTTACAACAACAATATATGACAGGTGTTATTATTATATTAGTTTTATCTCTATTTAACAGATAACAAAATAGGGAAAAAATCACCATGAATACAATGTTACTCTATTTCTCATTTTTAAAACTGGCAACCTGTAAAAGTCTAAAAAGATGTATGCTCGAGAAAAAAATTACAGAAATATATATTAATTTTATATTTGCCTTATATATAACCTCTAAAGTTATTTTTTAGAATACTATACAAGAACATGAGATAAAGATGTTGTTGTTGTTATGTGCCATCAAGTTGTTTGCGACTCATAGCGACCCTATGTACAACAGCCCTAAACCCTGCTCTATCCTGTGCTAATCGCACTGCCTCTGACACACCCATCCCGACTACCCCAGTCACTGAATCAATCCACCTCATAGAGGGTCTTCCCCTCCTGCGCTGTCCCTCCACTCTCCCAAGCATAAGGTTTATATCACACTTCAAAAACATTTCTTTTCACTCTTGCACTAAGTCAAGTTTAGGTACAAAGTATAAATTTTAATGATTATAAACTAAGATATTATATTTATATTTGCAACTCCTAAAAAATTTGAAGATAGTTTCCAGGGCAAATTGGTTTTCCATTTCACAATTCACAGACATTTTGTTTCATGACATAGATTGCAACTTCCACAATAAAATGGCACACTTTGCATTTTCTCCATTTCCTATTTCTAATCACAGTTTTTTAATATGCTTTCCTGCATTTTGAGTCCTGTGCAAATACTACTACCCTTTTGAACATGATAGAACATGTTTGTTGTTGTTATGAGCTGTCCAGTCAACTGTGACTCATAGCAACCTTATGGACAACAGCCCTGAAACCTGTCCTATCCTGTGCCAACTTTACTGTCTCACACACACCTACCCATATTACCCCAGTCACTGTACCAATCCATCTCATCTATGGTCTCCCTCTCTCTGTCCCTCCACCCTTCTAAGCATTATGACCCTCTCCAAGGACTGGTCTCTCCTTTCAACATGCCCAAAGTATATCAGACAAAGCCTTAGAGTCCCTGGCTCCAAGGAGCAGGTTGGCTTCACCCTCTCTAGGATGAACCTCTTTGTTCTCCTGGCAGTCCATGGTATAGTCAAAACTCTTCTCCAGCACCACAGCTCAAAGGCATCAATTCTCTATCAATCCTAGTCATTGTACATCTCTCTGATGCATAGTAAGCAAGTGCGAGAACTATAGCCTGAATCAAGGGTGCCTTAGTCTCCAGACAGACTCATTGCTCTTCAGTACTCTGGAGAGGTCCCTAACAGCTGACTTCCCCAATGCAATTTGTCTATTCATTTCCTAGCTGCTGGTACCTAACATGTTGACTGTGGAGCCAAGTAAACCAAAGCTGTTAAAAATCTCAATCTCTTCACCATCCAACATGATATTGCCAATTGGCCCAGTGGTGGAAATCTTTGTTTTCTTGATGTTGAGCTTCAATCTATATTGAGGGCTACAGTTCTTGATCTTCTGCAGCAAGCACTTCAGGTCCTCCTCAGTTTCAGCAAGTAGGGTTGTGTCACCTGCATAATGCAGATTGTTGATGAGTCTTCCTCATACAACCTAGCTTCCCGGATGATCTGTTCTGCATACAGATTGAAAAGGTATGGAGACAGAATACATCCCTGGCATTCACACATCCCAATTTTGAACCATGCAGTTTCTCCTTCCTCTGTTCTGATGAATGCCTCCTAGTCCAAATATAGGTTTTGCATAAGCACAATCAAATGTTCTGGGATTCCCATCCTTCTCAAAGTCAGCCTCAGTTTGTTGTGATACATCTGTGGAAAGAATCGCTGGAGAAGCTCAGTATCAGCTGTGAAAACTAGGCCAGATGCTGACTATGAAACAAACCACCAACTACTCATGTGCAAGTTCAAGCTAAAGTTGAAGAAAATTAAATCAAATCCACAGGAACCAAAATTTTATATTAAGCCTATCCCATTTGAATTTCAAAACCATCTCAGGAACAGATTTGTGGCCTTGAAGACCAATGAGCAAAGACCAAAGAGCTGTGGGAAGATATCAAGAATGTCATCCATGAAGAATGCAAAAGGTCATTACAAAAGAGAAGGAAGAAAAGACCAAGACGGATAACAGATGAGACTCCGAATATTGCACTAGAGCTCTAAGAAGCCAAAGTAAAGGTAATAAATCAGGAAATTAAGGAGCTGAACAGAAGATTTCAAAGGGCAGCTCAAGAAGACAAAGAAAAAGCATTATAATGAAATGTGCAAAGACCTAGAGTCAGAAAATCGAAAGGGCCAAACTCGCTCAGCATTTCTTAAGCTGATGGAATTGAAAAACAAATTCAAGCCACGAGTTGCAATACTTAAAAATGCTTGCTGAAATATCTCAGTCACAAAAGGACAAATATTGCATAGGGCCACTATTGTAAAACAGAACATCAGGGTTGAGGGAAGACAGAGAAGGAGGAGAGGAATGATGTATATTGCATTGAAACAGATGAGGGAAAGAACTGTTTAGAAGGGTCATATGATTGGATATTATTGTCATGACAGAAGTCCAGAATGAAGGCTGCACAGT